TTCCTAATTCAGCTACTGATTCAAAACCAGTTATAAGAGTTGGGGGGTTTCCCGCAGTGCAGACATACTGATTCTGCACTTGGAAAAAAGGTAGAAAATGTAACGTTCCAGAACCGTGGAAGAAATAGATTTGGTCATTCATACTTGAAGTAAAAGGAAATTTGCAATTCCTGTAGGAGATATTCCTATACCTATCTAGCTGGCTACACAATTAAAAATCCCGTAGAGTGACAGTTTTTACCACTCTGCCTCGTTCCCGAGCCCTAGTCGGTGCTCTCGGGTTCCGCTTAGTGGCAGATTACTAAACTCACAGGTAGGATTGATCCAGAAATAAAGCAGCCCGCATGCTTGTCACTCCCAGATTTTCTTTCCACACTTTACTGAAAGCATTTCCAGCTGATATTTCTCAAGAACTGAGTTCCTGGTGTGATTCTATTGGCTGCAGAATTGCCTGTAGAAAACAGTGAGTGATCTGTGTTTAAGCGGAAGCCAAATGTTAACAAAGAACAAAGGAGCAAACAAACAACAACAACAAAAAGTAGGATCTAGGACCCACTATATACTCACATCGTTTTAATTAGTTGATACTTTGGTTTGAATTTCTTTTTTTTTTATTTTGTAGTTAATAGATTTTCTTATCCTTTGCTATCGCTTATACTTAGCAGAATTGTAGTAGCGAAACCCATCCAAGTAGTGGAAGACGCATGAAGTAAAGAACAGTATGTACAGTTATAAGCAGATAAAAGTGGATGCCCTTCCAGTAAATGGATAATGTGGTTCTATAACACCGTGGTCATGTTGCCTGTTTTAGGGTCTCCAGTGTCCGCTCTTGGCTGCATGTCCCGCCCTGCTCCCCCATTCCCGTGGATGCACACACCTTCAGGCCCTTCCGAATTAGACCTCCCCATCGCTTTTTCACTCTCTGTGGTTGGATCTTATTTTCTGTGCAATCCCATACCCCAAGAACATTGCTGGCCAGTAGGAAATCATCATTAAATTACTGTCAGATCGCCTAGCAGGTAATGGATTTGGATATACTTTCAAAATGGAAAGGACCTCACTGTCCACTGTCACAGGGATTTAATGGGTGACATACATTTTAGCCACTGGACAGAAGCATGAAGATAATTACAAAGCACTGTATGATAGATAAAGAGAAACACTTCCTACATAGTGTATCGAACACAAAACGTGGCTACATCAAGGATAAAGAAACTCATAAAAGACATAGCACAATATTGTCATAAAGTAATAGACTCTTACATTTGAAAGAGATTTCTGAGTATATTGAGCTCAAATTCTACCTAACACAGATTCCCCCCTGCCCATGATATTTTTACATACTGTCAACATTCTGGTTAAATACTCTTAAGTGAAATTGTGTGAATATTCTGTATTTGTGAATGGCTTGTAATTGGTTTAAGACTTTGAATGTTTTAAAAACATTTTAACGCATGGGCAGGAAATTCATATAAGTGAAGGTCAGATTGGTAGGTGTTAGCTTCAAATCAGGAAGTCACATGGTCGACATGTATTCAAATGAGGACGCAGAAGCAGCAGGTGATGCTATGGATTCTTCCTGTCAGGCCCTGAGCCAAAATGAAGTGCTTTGGAAGGACATCCTCTGTGTCCTTTTCGTGTTGAAGGCCAGATCCTCAAAAGAACTGAAATGACCACATGTCAGGGAAGAGGCGCCATTGGGAATTGCTGCTTCCACATGTGGCTGTCATCTTGTCCCTTCAACATCGAAAGTATACAGATACCTTCCTGACCATTAAGAGTAGCTCTGTCCCAGGGTTCCAGAAGACAGCGCAGACTCAAACTATGTGCTGTTACAAAAACCCCATTACGAAAGAGAAAATGTTTATTAAGGTCTCAGAGTGAGTCTGGCCAGGGACGTTTGTCCGAGTCAAGGGTGAGACCAAGCAGATCCTATACATGGTGGAGGCTTTCCCATCGCTACGCACCCCCCTTTCGCATCCCAGTTGCCCTGCGCCCCAAGTCCCTTCTCATGGAGTGGCTCGAACCCACGGACCATGAGATTACAACCTGAGCCAAAGTCAGACGCTTCAGAAATAACCCCCAAAGCGCTTGGCATTTTCCTAGAACAACAACCGGGAGTTAGGTGGCCCGCTCCCTCTTTGAAAATTGGATTGTGTTGTTGTACATGTTTCTAGAAAGTACATGTTTTAATGGTCACCTCAAAAGTGGCTGGGCTCTCTGTGGGACCTCTGTGCCAAGCCTGTGTGCTGCCCCTGGTCTGGCTCTTTTACTAGTCGTTGTCACCCGGATTGGAAAATGGCCCCGTCTCCCGCCTAACAGGGCACACTTTGCATGTGATGCCCTCTCGAGTGGCAGAAGGCTTGTGGAGCCAAGGTCAGCGTTCTGTGATAACATTCCCAGCTTCAGAGGCTCATTCTTCAACCCGTGGAGCACATCCTTCCTCCTCTGAGTTCTCTGCACGCATCAGGTCTCGGTTTGGGGGAGGTGATCGGGCCTCTTGCCAGGATCGACTTAATCGATCTGGCCGAATGGGAAAAACCTGTCGAGGCGACAAAGAATCGACCAAATCTAGCATGACTTTTTTGGCCCGACTTCTTATAAACGTTGTTCGAGCAGGGATACCCGGCCATCGATCGGGTCTGTTCCCTCTCCGTGCTGCAAAGTCACCTTGCCGATAATACACTTAGTGCAAAACCCAGGAGGACACAGCGCCGGTAAACGCTGTCAGAAGCAGAAACATAGATTATTATTTTAAATTCTTCAGAATGATGAAGTTAGCACCAATTGTTGCATGGCAACGATTTGACAACTTTCTCCACCTTGGAGGTGGTCTGCTTTGTGTAAAGCTTTGACAGCTGTGTGCTCTATTTGGGAAATAAATGAACAGGGGGAGTCAACATCAAAACACTCTGCTTGGGGGCGCCTGGGTGGCTCGATCAGTTAAGCGTGCAACTCTCGATGTCAGGAAAGGTCACGGTCTCATGTTCGTGGGATCGAGCCCCGAGTCAGGATCCAAGCTGAGCACAGAGCCTGCTTAGAGTTTCAGTCCCTCTCTCTCTCTCTCTCTCTCTCTCTCCCCAATCTCTGTCTCTCAAAATAAATAATTATACATTTAAAAAAATACTCTGTCTCTACTCCCGCCTGTCCCTCCCTATCCACATCAGCTTTGAGGTTTGTATGGGTCATTTAGGAACTTGTGGTGAACGCCTTTTTCTTCATATGCATCCCAAACCCACGTGTAACACGGATCCTTGGAATGTCAGGTACTCCTAATGCTTCCTGTTTTGTTGATTAGCCGTTCTTTGCATAGGAGAGGAAGGGAGAGGTGAGGAGGGGAGGGGAGGAGGGGACCAGGTGAGGGGAAGGAGAATGGAGCAGAAGGGAAGGGGAGAGCGCAGGAAGGCAGGTGGAGAGCGGAACAGCCACACCGAGCCCCCCTCTTCCAAGTTCCCTCTGTGCCACATGGCACCGTGTGGTTCTTACAGGGGAAAAAGTGTGAAGGACGCTTGTTAAGGATGGGAAGGCAGACTGTGTGTGGTACCATCATGCTAGGTGTGGGGTCACTGCATTGGGATTTTCCAGAGGGGGAGAGAGGTGGCGCTCATCTGTGCTGCATTGGGAGTGGGGGTCACAGTCCCGGAGAGGAGCGGTCCCGGGCGGGGGTCGCCAAGAGGGCACATCGGGGTAAGGGGGGCTCCGGCGAACCTGACCTAGCAGTATGGTGCTGAAGGCAGGCCAGGGGGACAGAGCTCGCCCGGGGGTGGTGGGGGATGGAAACCCATCAGACAGCGGGGGGGCGGGGGCCCCTCACTGAACTGACCTCGCACAGTTTTTGCCAACACTGGACTTTACACGAAGGGGCGTGGGTGAGAAGGCTCGGGAGCTGCCGGAAGTGCAGTCAAGCCAAGGGTCGTCGTCACACTGTCCCAGCCTTCTGCTCACAGAGAACGGAGCGCCCCTTACTTCCTTCTGCACACGGACGCTCTCTGTTACTGGAGCCTGTTGGACAACGTGGGCCAATTAACGACCTTCTCGAATTTCAGATTCCTTCCCACCATCGCTTTTCACCTCTCCTTCAGTGTGAATGTCCGTCCTGATGGCACTTTCCTGCCTTTTCTTTTCCTGGCCCCACACACTTCCCCCGGGCAAGCTCAGGGAGCGTCAGCTAACATCCATAATCCTGCTTCACCTACACCTGCTCTGTCCTCAGAACATCCGTCCCCTGAATACTAGACTCTTCTTCCAAGTGACTACAAGCCGGTTCCACCTAGACACTGGTTCAAACCTAACCAAATGCACATGTTTGCAACTGAACGTATTTTCTGGGGCGCCTGGGTGGCTCAGTCCATTAAACATCTGACTCTTGATTTCAGCTCAGGTCATGATCTCGCGGTTCATGAGTTCTAGCCCCTCACCGGGTTCAACGCTGATGGTGCGGAGCCTGCTTGCGATTCTCTCTCTCTCTCTCTCTCTCTCTCTCTCTCTCTCTCTCTGCCCCCCCAAATAAATAACATAAAAAAAGAAATTAAGCATATTTTCTGATATTTATCTTGATATTTCACAAATAGTTCCACAATCTACTCTCTCACACTGGAAATCCTTACCTCCCATGGTCAACATGTCACAAAACATATCAATACTAATCCCAAGTGTCTCTTCCCCTTTCCTGGCTTTTATTTGGAAAAGCGGTAACAACATAAAATCTCGGTAAGAGAAACAAGTAAGGAAAATACATGGGGAAACCATAATCGGGGAAATAACTTCATTAGCAATTCCTCTGTGTTAGCAATTTCATATTTGAAATATGACTCGATACCCACAATTGTTGAGAACAATAAATGTGACAAAGCAAAAAAATTATATAAAATCCTGTGTATAAATGGGAAAAATTCCAACACGTTATGCACTTGACGGTAAAGGTAAACAGGCTGTGAATGCAGTACTTTTTTCAGAGACTGATTCTGCAAAACGTTTATCGGTTTTACTCGTGTCTGCAGCTGGCCACTGCGGTTCCCCGGACCCGATCGTGAACGGTCATATCAGCGGAGACGGCTTCAGCTACCGGGACACTGTGGTTTATCAGTGCAATCCTGGCTTCAGGCTGGTTGGAACTTCCGTTCGAATCTGCCTGCAAGACCACAAGTGGTCCGGACAGACCCCCGTCTGTGTCCGTAAGTACAACGTGAACGCATTTCAGCACGTGCTTCCTTTGGTCACCTTTTCTCTTGGGAGGAAGTCTTAGCACAGACGTGTGTAACCTCCAGAGTGAGACAGAATGGAGACGCGTCCCTTCACCTGTGTTGAGAGAGACGCTACAGGCAGGGCTCCTCCCTTCCTTTCCAATCCACCTCCCCCTCTGTTCCCTTCCAGCACCTCCAGAGGCTGGTCCGCAGGGAACGTGCTCCTTAACTCCTCTCAGACAGGTAGATCCCAGGACGAGCGATGTCGTGCACTCATTTACCTGATTTCATCACAGGGTAAACAGGGTGGAAACAGAAGGAGGGCAAAGGCACGGAGTCTGTCCGCAGGTTGACTTTCCGGAGTCCCCCGCATAGCTACACACCCCTGATCTTCCGTGTTGTTTCGTATCTTTTCTTTCAACAAGAATCCAGAGTTTTGCCAGCAGTCCTTCCTTTAAAAGAAAGAGGTAGAATCTCACGGAATGATTGTCCTCAAACTTTATAACATGCAAGATAACTACCAACTAGTGTTTTTAGAAGACATTGTACTCTCTATTGCAAAATTTGTTTTACACCAATAGTCTTTTTCGCCTAGTATATTCTTTATTTTCCTGCGAATTATACAGAGGAAATGTTGATGCAGCCATAGATAATGACAGGTATCATCTAGGAAAGTGCGGTGGTAAATGGGCAGAGTTCAGGGGCGAAAGCTTTACTTAGAAGAAAGAACCGTTGACAAGATAAATGAGGAGGAAAACACCAGTTTTATGACTGTAGTGTGTTTCTTTTGAAAGGGCTTCTGAAGGATATCTTTGGGATTTGTATTGCTGTTATTTAGGGCATGACATTAATGACAGTTCACTACCTTTCTAAAGATCGTACAATGGGGACTGTCAAAGAAAATACTGTTTGAGCATGCACACTTATTTTGCTACTTTCCTGATGTTTAAATTGATATTGGAAAAAATGATGTATATTCAGTTTATCAGCCAAGTCCCTGTAATGTTTCAAAATGAGAGTTCCACGAAACTAGCTGGTGTTTTCTAAGGGGAAGATATTCAAAACTCGTAATTCGTGTAAGAATTTTACCCCCTCTCGTTGTTCACTGCTTTATTATAGAGTTATTTGACGTTCTGTCGTGACATAAGAATAATTAGTAAGACGAAGAAAGTACATCTCCCAGGTGTAGGTTATTGTCCATAATTATAATAAACACATGTAGGTCTGCTTATGGTTCTTTGTCACCCTTTTCCCTTCCAAGTGTAAATACAGCCTGTAAGGTATCTGACAGCCGGCTTTGAGTCCATACGTGGGCACGCCCGTAAAGGTCTCAATGAGGTGTTCCAAGGGGGGGTGACGACCTGGTTGTTTTCTGACACTGCTGTGGACCTGTCTTCCTACGCAGCCATCACCTGCGGCCACCCCGGGAACCCTGCCCACGGCTTCACCAACGGCAGCGAGTTCAACCTGAACGACGTCGTGAACTTCACCTGCAACACGGGCTATCTGCTGCAGGGCGCCTCTCGGGCCCAGTGTCGGAGCAACGGCCAGTGGAGTAGCGCCCTGCCCACGTGTCGAGGTGGGGGTGGGGCGGGAACGAGTTGGGGAGGGAGGGGGGAGGGCTCCCGGAGGTGGGGGAGGGCTCCCGAAACGAGCCCTGCAGGCTGAGGTCAGCGGGCTGATGAACACCCCAAAGCACCCGTGTGTGTGATGCTTCAAGGACAGGACTCCGCAGGTGCTTTCACTGCTGGGGGGCGGGCGGGGCGGTGGGGGGAGACAGTTGGGAGAATGATGGTGAAGACTGGCCGGGTGTTCGGTCGGAACAGTCTAGGACTCTGAAGTAGGCTCCTCTTCCGTTTCCCTTCGTCGTTACCCATTCATTCATCTGTACCGTGTCTTTGGACTCAGCTTCTAGACCTGGGGGTACATTTAGGAAGTTCTCAGCTTTTAAATCTCTCTCTCTCCTCCCCCCCGACCCATTCATTTCTTCAAAAATCACCACCTAGATCTAGGCTAAGACCTGAATTTTCTGCTGTCTTGGGGGTTTTGCATTTCTAGACGTTTGAGCTCGTATTTAAGGGTCTGCCTCCATTGCTTTCCGTGAGAACGTGTCGCACGTGAAGGTGACTGGTGCTTCGGTGTGAAGGTGAGAGTTTACGGTAGCGACGTGGTACGGGAGCCGGACAACGGGTGTTCCTCTCACTGACGATCGCGCACCTCCCCACTGGGGTCCCCAGGAGGCCACATCCACGTGAGACGAGAGCAGAACGGGATCCCAGCAATTTTTAAAAACAGCGATGGGATTTGGTTCCCAGACTGTAGAGTTCTGGTCCGAGTCTATACGTGAGGGCTGGGCCCGAGCTCCAGAAGAGGTGAAGGCTCCGAATCTCCCTTCCCTCTAAACACTAGTATTAGATTCAGCCCCACAAAGCAGGTTTCCGGTCATGACGTGGCTGGGCGTGGGATGGGGTCTGGGCAGCTTGAAAACGAACACGTTTACCTTATGTCTTGTCATTCTTCTTATTACTATGAGTCGTGGAAGCCAGGGGCCATGGAGGAGGCCGAGCGGGCTTGGAGGGCGGCTCTGAATGCACGGACCAGCGCAGAAAGCTGGCTCCCGCGCGGCATCTCGCCCCTTCGCGTTTTTGCGTTGAGCGCCGGGATGGTTTGGCGCACCCCGAGTGCTTCCAAACGCCGCTCCAAACACAGCTGAGGGGACCACCGTCGCCTCTCGCCGGGGAGCGTGAGGGCTGCAGATGTGCAAGAAACGGGGGGTGTGGGCAGTGGCGGGAAGACAGAGCTGTGGGCGTCTGCGCCGGCTCGGCGGCCGCGGGGGTCTAGGAGACGAGGCCGCTTGGATCCCGTTCTCTTCTCCACCTGGGCGACGGGAACACGGCACGGCCGCAGCCACGATCACGCACGAATGCCCGGAAGGGTCGGTCCGGTTTGTCTGGACACGGGGGCACGGCGTGACTGTGCCTCTGATGTCTTAGGGACATCCAAACACGCCACGTGCCTGCTCCCCCAAAGCCCTCCCATTCAACTTCGTTTAACACTCACTAAGCACGTGCTCTGTTCCAAACGCTGTGCTCCGCTCTGCCAGCAGAGAGGTGGGTAAAGTCACTCCTACCTTGGAGTCGATGACAACGAAGACCGGAGGCGCTCGCTGATTAGGTGGGCAGAATGTCACCCACAGCTGCTGAGACGTCATCCATGTGACATGGAATATATGCCTGCCAGATGGCAGATGGGATGAACTCAGGATGGTGGGATTTTCCTCCTCAAACCTTTTTTTTGGCGGGGGGACTGTATTCCACTTTTCTCTAACTTCTACCGAAGAAGAGGAGTGGAGATCAAATGCTGCCATTTATTCACGGTTTTCAGGGTTTTCGATACCATGCTGAAGGTCCTTTGGAAGCCTAGGGCCCAGCGTAGCACTGGGATATGTACTGACCTCTTCAGCATTGATTTTGCCTCTCCTTACCGTTCTCCATTTCCTCAAAAAATAGGAATGTACTTGGTTTTTCAGGGGACGTTATTTTTTATAGCATAGACAAAAAAGCTTTAAGGTTCACAGAAAAATTGAGAAGACGTAGATTTCCCAGGCATCCCTTGCCCACATGTGCACAGTGTCCCCCATTGTTGACGTTCCCCACCAGATGGTGCATTCGTTACAATCGGCGAATCCACAGTAACACATCTCACCACCCAGAGTCCATTCGCACCCGGGTTCACTGGTCGTGTCGTACAGTCTATGGGTTCGGACAATGCGTAATGACACGTATGCACCCTGACAATGTCATACAAATAGCTGAACTGCCCTAAAAATCCTCAGTGTTCCACCTGTTCATTGTCCCTCCCCCCACTAACCCCTGGCCACTACTGATCTTTTCAGTGTCTCCATAGTTTTGCCTTTTCCAGAAGGTCACATAGTTGGAATCACACAGGGTGTATGTAGCCTTCTCAGACGGCCTGCTTTCACTTGGCGATATGCACTGAAGGTTCCTCCATATCTTTTCATGGCTGGACAACTCATTTCTTTCTCGCGCTGAATGACGTGTCATTGTCGGGATGGACCACAGTTTATTTATCCATTACCTCCTGAAAGGCATCTTGGTCGCTTCAAGTTCTGGTGATGACAAATAAAGCTGCTATAAACATCCATATAGAGATTTTTGTGCGGACATGAGTTTTCAACTCCTTTCGATAAATACCAAGGAGTATGATTGTCAGATGTATGGTAAGAGCATATTTAATGTTGTCAGAAAGCACCACCGTGTCTTCCAAAGTGGGGGGCGCCATTTTGCGTTCCCTCCAGCAAGGAGTGAGAGTCACTATTGTTCCACATCCCTGTCGGTATTTTAGCGATGTCTGTATTCTGAATTCTGTATTCTGAATTTTGGACATTCTCACAGGTGGATAGTAGTTCTCCTTGTTGCTTTAATTTGCATTTCCCTGATGACGTAGGACGTGGGACGTTTCCCTGATGACCTAGGATGGGGGGCGTTTCCCTGATGATATAGGATGTGGGGTGTTTCCCTGATGACCTATGATGTGACATGATGTGGGGCATTTCCCTGATGACCTAGCAGGTGGGGCGTTTCCCTGATGACCTAGGATTTGGGGCATCTTTTCATGTGCTTTTTCCCGCTGTATATCTTCTTTGGGAGGCATCAGTGAAGGTCTTTGGCCCATTTTTCATATGGATTTCTTGTTTTCTTCCAAAGTTTTAAGAGCTCTTTGTCTATTTTGGATTAATAGTCCTTTATCAGTCATCTCCTTTGCTATTATTTTCTGCCACTCTGGCTTATCTTCTCATTCTCTGGGCGCTGTCTTTTGCGGTATAGAACTCTCAATTTGTGCTTCATTTTGAAAGCTGTTCCTCCCAGTACATGTGATGAAGGGGTGGGGGGATGCCTGGTAAATGCCGTCCTACAAGTGCTGAGTGGATTGGAAACCACCGGAACATCTCCAAGGTGCCTTCTGCTCATGTTTTCCTATTTTCTATCTTTTTTGTTTGTTTCCTTCATTTATGAGCTAAGAGCTACAGTCTACTGCACAGAGTTTACATATTTATTATAAAACCAGGGAAAGCATGATTTCAAGGAGGACGGGCTCATAAAGGCGGTGAAGCCTTAGGGAAAAAATGTCGTAAAACTCAACAAGGTGAAGATAGCAAGAATAGCTACTTTTGAAACAAAATCGTCAGGGATTCTTTGCGCCTGTTGCAGTGTAACCTGATTCTTGTCTCACGTGGTTCCTTGAATTCCTTGTCTCACGTGGTCCACAGAAAGTTTGGCAGGCTGTGTCTCACGCCAGCGCCCCCATTGTGCTTGATCTCTTCTTCCCCAGTTCTTGATAATATGTACCTCCTACATGTCTGATTTGGGTAGGTCAATGAAGTGTGGAACACCGGGTGCTCCTACAACATTTAGCTAGCTCACGGTGTGAAAGAGAGACTCCACCCAGAACTTTGGAACAGAACTCCCAAGTAGTCGGTGCTGAAGTGAGTCCAGACTCCATATAGATTCCTACACAGTCTGTGTCCACTGTGGGGCCACCTCATTAGGCTTAGACTCAGCCATTAACAGGACGAAGTTCTGTGCAAGCCTGTAGCATTTGTGATCAGTCAGAAAGCTCCGGGGGCGCCTGGGGAGCTCAGGCAGTTGAGCCTCCAACTTCGGCTCAGGTCACGGTCTCATGGTTCGTGGGTTCAAGCCCCGCATCAGGCTCGCTGCTGACGGCTTAGAGCCTGCTATGGATCCTCAGTCTCCCTCTCTCTCTACCCCTCCCCTGCTTGCATGCTCTCTATCTCAAAAATAAGTAAACACTTTAGAAAATAAATAAATAAAAAGGGAAGTTCACATCCAGGACACTAGCTGTAATGCCATACCCTGTCTTTGCAAACGGGATTAGGAAAGTAAAAGAAGGTGTGTTTTTTTTGTTTGTAGTTCTACCTTTCTGGAAGAAAGATACAATACATGATATGGTTGCAGGTTTCCTGAGGAAGAATGAAAACAAATGTCTCACACCTATTTTAAGAACCAGATTATGCACATGGTCCTGGAGGTCCAAGTTCCTACATGAAAACATTCTTGGAGCTCTGTCTCCTGAGTTCCAAACCTCAAAGGTCCGGTCAGTTCCGTGAGAATACCAAGTCTGACAAATTTTCAGTATCATTCACTTAGTATTTCCTTTCGTAATGTATTAATGTTTGTCGTGTGTACAAACCTTAGACATTTTTCCTTTCTTATCAGAAAATTCTAAATTCAGAGAGATAAAATATAGTCCCTATGTGATTACACACATGAAGATAAAATTAAGAAAATATGGGGTTAGTGAAATTTCTGTTATACTTAGAGAGGAATAAAAAAAAAAGTCAATAATAAAAAAAAAAAATTAACTAAAGAGGCACCTGGGTGGCTCAGTCAACCAAGCGTCTGACTCATAGGTTCAGCTCAGGTCATGGTCTCATGGTGCCTGAGCTCTATCCCCATGTCAGGCTCCGTGCTGACAGCGTGGAGCCTGCTTGGAACTCTCTCTGTCTCTCCCAAAAATAAATAACTAAACCTTTAAAAT